GGTTCAAGCAATTCTCCTGCCTCAGCCTCCTGAGTAGCTGGGACTACAGGCATGTGCCACCACACCCAGCTAATTTTTGTATTTTTAGTAAAGATGGGGTTTCAGCATGTTGGCCAGACTGGTCTTGAACTCCTGACATCAGGTGATCTGCCTGCCTCAGCCTCCCAAAGTGTTGGAATTACAGGCGTGAGCCACTGTGCCTGGTCCCCATGCTCTTTTTTGGTTAACAGAGAAATGGATACCCTCCTTTTGTGCAAATTGAATTTTCACAGTAAATTAAAGAGCATAACCAAACCAATTTTAGACAGAGGTATCTTAAGAAGAGGAAACATTTTAGTTTAATCTTAGGAGAAACATGTTATTGGCCTGTTTCCTATAAACCTATTTATCCTAGGTAATATAAGGAAGATAGAATGTAATGTATGTTAATTAATTTGCCCAACATTTCATTGGAAGATAAGTTGAGTGCCACTCAGGAGAAAGAGACCTACTAATGGCAACTTTCCTCTGTTGCCTTGGGCACTTTGGCTCTTGGTCCCAAATTTGTATATTCCTCTTAGCAAAGCAGAATCCCTGCAGATAACTGGAGATTATAATTTTGACTTGAGTGTGCTTTTAGGAAGTATTACTCCCTATACCCCTCTTTCCCATTCCCACTCAAGTAAGTGATCTTTCCAATATCATAAAGCACTAAGGTGAGGTTTTGTGAATTTTTCTTCTGTATTTTCTGTGACATTTTAGTGGCCCTGATAGATTGGTTAGCCCACTCATTAACCTGACTGTTTGCATAGAAGATTTGGAGGTCATCTCACAAAACTCTTGATTTCCTTTTCCCTAAACATGCTCCTTTCCCAGTCAGCCCTGTTTAATAAATCCGTTTGTCTCATCTCCACTACTGCTACCCTTGTCTAAGGATCCATCATCTTTCTTTCTTTCTTTTTTCAGTTTCAAAGTGGTTATTATTATTATTATCCTGCCTGCATTGGGTTTTCAGTCCCAGTGGGGATTGAGAAACCTGGTGAGACCAGTAGCATCCCTGGGGGGTAAACACAAGACTCATCCACATTGCTCCCAGCTGCCCTGGCCTTCCTACAACTCTTAGAGGTTTGCAGTCCCTATTCCTCATAGCCAGCTATGTAGTGTTATCTTTCCCTGAAATAGTAGTGTCTTTGGGCAGCATTCCGTTCCAGGTGGATAACCACACCCTGAAACACCTCTCTCCATGACTGAAGATGAGAAGCTGAAGGGGATGGTCTCTGCCCTCTGTGGCCCTGTGCGTTCCTTTCCAGCACCATTCTTGCTCTCATGCGCCTGAGTCGGCCTGGTCTGCCAGGTGGGCTGCACTCTGCTCAGCCCCCACATCACAGGAGACCGTCTCCTTACCGAAGACCATGAAGTGAGTGTTTACTAAAGCAGCAGCATTATCACTGCACCAGAGTTAGAAAGTGGACAGTCAAGGATCTCTGTAGATAGCAGAGAAGTAGGTAATACCATCTATAAATGCATGTTGGTTTTGCGCCATCATTTTTCTTGGCTAAAATGGCCTCCTGTCTGGTCTGGTTGTGTTCATTTTATCCCTTATGGTCTTTTTTTTTTTTTTTTTCTTTTTTCTATACGATAGACAAAGTGATATTTTAAAAACATAAATATTTTTACTCTTCTGCCCAAAGCCCTCCTTTGTGCTTGGCATAAAAACCGAATGAATTGCAACTGATTGCAAGGCCCTGTGTGATCTGTCCCTTGCTTTTGCCCCTCTCTCCCTCATTGACTATGTCCTAATCTTTTGCTCTTCTCTCCCTCATTTACTGTCCTCTAGCCGCCTTGCTATGACATATCAAGATTTCTTCCCCAGATGTACCAAGCTTGTTCCTGCTTTCCACCTTTGCACCAGCTCTTTCTTCTGCCTGGAATGCTCTTTCCCAGAACTTGGCGTGGTGGGCCCCTTTGTGTTATTCAAAGTTTTCGGATTTCACCTCCTCCAGAGGTCCTCTTTGATATTCCAGTGTACAGTAGCTCCTGCTTCATTGCAGCACCCTGTTTTATTTTCCTCATAGCATTTAGCAATCCTAAACCATCTTTATATGTTTGTCTCTTGTTTATCATTTTCTTCTTCCCTTACTAGAATTTAAGTAACATGAGACGGTAGATCTTCTCTGTCTTGTCCATCCTATAATCCTAACACCTATAGCAATGCTTGATAAATCCTATCTAAATGAAAAAAAATCAGTGAATGAACCAAAGAGATAGAGAAATATACTTTTTTCTTTATAAAACTTTAATTTTTTAATTGACATATAGGAATTGTACATTTTTATGGGGTTTGTAATGATGTTTTGATACATATAGTATATAGTGATACAATCAGGTTAATTAGCATATCCTCATCTCAAACATTTATCATTTCTTTGTGATGGAAAGATTTAATATCCCCCTTCTAGCTATTTGAAACTATTTATTATTAACTATAGTCATCTACAGTGGTGTAGTACACTAGAACTTATTCCTCTTACCTTGCTATAATTTTGTATCCTTTAGGAAATCTTTTCCTATCCCCACTAGAAATGTGCCTTTTAATACCTTGAGGTTGCTGGAACCAGCTGTTGATGTAGTAAGGGAGGAAGGCAACATAGCAGTGCACAAAAATACTTTCCCAGTCCTGGCTAAAGTATATAATAAAGAGTGTGCCCTAACAGTGAGTGTAACCATTCAGGAAAAAAACAATTTCTCATTGAAAAAGGAGTGAGTTATTCAAACAAACTGGAATCAGGTTAATTATGTGGATTTCCTGTACAGCTAATAACTTCAGTCTTTAAGCTACGTAGTTAGATAATTTGATGCTTCAGGCCAAAAAAGATACTTGATTGTAAATGGTGTTTTTCATAATTTTAAAGCATTGCAGTTGAATGCAATAGAAGGAAAACTCTTGGTGTTCTTATAGGGTTCATAACAGCATGCTCATAATGACAGGATGCTCATTACCATCATTAGATTATACTTTATAATGCTAGAGTTTATGTTTTCTGTAGTCTTTTAAAATAACTGCTATGTTGTGGGCTAGAAAAGATTATGGGAATATGATACCTCTAAAATATACTCCAAAGAATTTTTTTTATATTGAAAGGAAAATGAGAAAGTATTCTTAAAACGTGTAAAAAATAAAAATAGGTTACCATTCAATTGCTTGTGCAACTTTGTTGTTTAGTTTATAAACTAGTATTTTTATTGGCCTCTGAAGATAATGAAGAATAATCAACTTAGTGACTTATGTTAAATATATCTGAGTTAAAGTTTCTGTCTGCTTTTGTTTTCTTTCTTTTTTTTTTTTTTTTGAGACGGAGTCTCACTCTGTTATTTAGGCTGGAGTGCAGTGGCACCTTCTTGGCTCACTGTAGCCTCCACCTCCGAGGTTCAAGCGATTCTCCTGCCTCAGCCTTCTGATAGCTGGGATTACAGATATATGCTACTACACCTGGCTAATTTTTTATTTTTAGTGGAGATGGGGTTTCACCATGTTGTTAAGGCTGGTCTCGAACTCCTGACCTCAGGTGATTCGCCCACCTTGGCCTCCCAAAATGCTGGGATTACTGGTGTGAGTCATCACACCTGGCCACTGTCTGGTTCTTTTCTTTAATATTCAAATAGTTTTGGGAAAAAGTAATAGTAAATCTAATGTGGGGTCTGAGTTAGTTTATTTAAGCCAAAATTTTTTCAATTTATTTTTAAATGACTTTTGCCCTTCCAAGTCACTATGAAGGGAAGTTGTACATTTATTTCAACTATGCTTCCATTCATTAAACTACTTTTATAGGTTCTTTTTAAGAATTGCTTCACAGCCAGTTTTGGAATCATGAAACAAAATTAGCCTCCTTGCTTTAATTTATAAATTAAAGACCTCATCTTTTTATAACAAAATTAAGCATATTACTTTCTCAATCGACTTCATATTAGTATTTTGTTAACTTATGAAGCCTATGTAGCTGTTATGCAGTTGAACTTATGACTTCTAAGATTGCAAATTATCTTGTACAGTAAATCTGTGATGAGCAAGAAACATTATATAACTTTGTGGAATAATAGACTAAAAAAAAAAACCAGGACGGGTACAGTGGCTCACACCTATAATCCTGACACTTTGGGAGACAAGGTGGAAGGATCACTTGAGTCCAGGAGTTCGAGACCATCCTGGATAACATAGTGAGACCTCCTCTCTGGAAAAANAAAAAAGCTAGGTGTGGTAGGCAGCACCTGTGGTCCCAGCTGCTTGGGAAGCTGAAGTGGGAGGATCACTTGAGCCTGGGAGATTGAGGCTGCAGTGAGCAGAGATTGCACCACTACACTCCAGCCTGGGCTACAGAGCGAGACCTTGTCTTGAAAAACAAAACAAAACAAAAAGAAAACACCAAACTGTTCAGACCTGGGTGACTACCCCCTGCCTTTTAAATTTGTATTTTTCCTGAAATTGAGTGCTCATTGTGCTTTCCTGCAGATGAAAGTTAGGTTGCGCCAAATCTAAAGGCAGCACCATACCTTTGTGGAAGGAAAGAAAACCACCTGGTACCAGAAAAAGGCCAAAAATGGACTCTTTTTTTGTACTAACAGAGTGAAAGCTAAGAGTCCATATTTAAAATATGATCATAAAACTATTCTTATTTTACAGTTCTTGGCATAAGAATAGACATGTGCTTTGGATAATATACCTAATTTTAAAAGTTGAGATCTGCTTCTTTGAGAGAAGTAGTTGAAACACACTGTTCGTGTGCTTCAACTGGTTAGAACACATGTAAGCTTTATTCATTGTGAAATAAATGAATTATTTGTTTTAGGGTAAGTCTTATTGTCTTGGCTTCCATGACAATTAAAGGCTTCTGTTTTGTTCTATAAGCCAGTGTTTTAATCTGTTATGTATAAAGATCACTTTTTGTTTAGTATTATAAGTATATGGGTTTTTAAAGTTTGTTTTTTAAAAATATTTTCTTTCTTCTCTTCTGCATTTTTTAAAGCTGCACATCATTGACTCCTGGGCCCAACTGTGACCGATTTAAATTGCACATACCATATGCTGGAGAGACATTAAAATGTAAGTAAACGATGACTATTTTACTTGAAATGTAGGTTACAGTGTCAGCTACTGGACTTTGTGCTTTAGTTTTCATTTCCTGCTGTTGTTATCTCCTAAGATATTGATCGCTAGGATTTACCACTTTTCTTATCTGTCATTCAATTCTAGTTTGATTAAAAATAAGGCAGTTGGCAGGGAATAAGTTGTGGTTAAATAGGCATGCACAGAAATTCTTAATTTTTAGGCATGCACAGTAATTTTTTTGTGTTTTTTTCTCTATAGGTGGCTTACATAATACTCAATAAAGAGTCCATTGCTTTAGAATACCTGGCCATTTAGAAACAGTTTTTAGGTAGGAGTGGCTACTGTTCATCACTGCTGCTAACCCCTGTGTGGAACCACTGTGCCACGACTTGTCATTGATGTCTTCTGTTGTTTCCAAAGTGTAAGAGTCCTACCTCAAAAATGCTTGGCATGGCTTGGGCCTATCAACATGTTATCCCCTTTACAGCAAAGATCAGAGATACAAATGGTCTGCAAGAGTTAGACTGGTAACATAGTGAGGGAAACAGGCTAAGTGTGGCAAATCGCGACACCCTGTCACCTAAGGGGAGTATCTCTACTAATTTATTGAGAGAAGGTGGAAATATGGAATTTTACATGAATTCTGTCAATTTTAGTTGTTGCTACTTTTTCAAAATTAAAAACACAGTATGGGCCAATATTATGCAGGCTAAATTGAACATGTCTGTGGGCTGACTTGAGTTCCTGGACCACAAGTTTTTGATCTTGGATGGATAGTATGGAAGATCTGTCTTTGGACTTACCCCACCAGCTACAGCAGCCATCAAGTCTGTATCAGCCTTTCTCTGTCACTATTAACCAATACTGAAGCTCTAGCCTAGGTTGGAAATCACAATGGCTTTGGCTAGTTACTATTGGTAATCTTACCAGGAATTTTCTCTCTTGAACCTATACTTGTGGGGAACAGCCTATTATTCTATTCTTGAAAAGAAAATAAAGAACATGGGTATTAAACATGGGACAGATGGGTAAACTGCTTTTTTGGCCTGTGGACCAGCATGTTCTACTATTACACGCCAGGAGGGGCCACGTCTCTGTATAGTGTTTTGTATTCTTAGTACTATATTCTGTGGAATTACTTGATACTAATTTATCAAATGCAACATTAAATGAAAAATGTAAGACATGTATACTTGTCGGACTTGCATTATTAGACCATTTTCTAGAAACTGTTAAAATATAAAATAATTTTACCTGTCTGAAGTAGTAGGACAGATTCGATTGCTACTCTTTTGAAAAATTATTAACTAAATTTAAAAGAAATTATCAAAGTAAATAATTCATGTGGTTAAAAATGTAAAAGTACTGTAATTTTTTGATACATGAAATCAGTAGTCTTCTCTCCCAGTCCAGTTTTCTGAGAGAATCACTTATAGATTCTAAAAATTGTTCAGTTTAGCTCCCTGGGGATGATCTCCATATCTTTAAATAATACACTTTTGCCTCTGTTTCTTGCCTTATCAGTTTTAGACATTGTTATCTTTTGACTTCCTGTGCCGATACATGAAGCATCAGCCTATTTTCCTTATACCCCTTAACTCTTTCTTCTTTTCCTTCTTAAAATGTAATTATATCACCATTATTGGTTCCTGTGTTGGTTACCCTGTAGCTTAAAAAGTTTTGCCTACTTTTTTTAATAGATCACTTTAGATGTTGTATTACACAGTTAAATGAATAGCCCCTAAGAATTCTTAATAAGTGTCTGGCACATAGTAAGTATTGTTATTACTTAGGGAGAATCTCTGTGCAAGAATGGTGAACACTTAGTGTAGTATACTTTTTAGTTTTCTATTAACCAACCATAGATAACTGTGTCTTTTGGCTCTGCATTTTGTAAGATGAAGATATTGCCATTCCTTTAATTCCTCTTCCTTCACCTCTCAACTTTTGTCTTTGGTTATTTTCCTTTTGCATTTTCAAGTTTGGTAACTTACTGTTTGTTCTAAATCTGTAGTTGTCTTCTGTGCCTTGTCTATAAATTACTTGAATGATTGCTCTGTAGGCCTGTTCTTGCATAATTATTACTGTGAGATTTGCCTTTGTTATTCTTTTGAATTTGACCTTGTTTTGTAGAATCTATGTATCATAGATTCTATGTTTTGTAGAATGATTTCTTGGTAAACAGGTTACCTGCTTATCTTGCTGGAACGCCTTGTCAAATAACTTGCTCGGATTCCATTCTCTCCACCCTTCTGCCTTTCCTTTAGCCCATCTGATAATTTTTTATTACCACAGACACAATTGGGTATCTTAATTTCTAAGAGCTCTTTCTTGCACTGTTTCTCGTTCTCAGCATCTTGTTCTTATTTTATGAATATAGGTCCTTTAAAATCCTTCAAAGAATAAAATTTAGAGATTTTTTTTTTTTTAAGTTTTCTTCTGTTACCTGAATTATTTTAATTTCTCCTAGGGATTATATTTTTGTTTATCGTATTTTTTTCCCTCTTTTATTCAATAGTTTTCTTCAATAAAAAGGCATTCATTTATGTTTAAGATAGACAATAATATACTGATTGGGAGTTCTGAGTAGGTGAGCAAGAATTATGGAATATGTGGATGGATGATGGGCCAGATGTGAGTCAGCTGTTGTAGCTCTCCTCACATAGTTTTTTCTATTTCTTCAGTGACTATCTGGGGATACATACCTGGTCACCATGTCATTTTCAGGGGGTAGATATATTCCCTGAGGAGCTTTTGCTTACTCTCCATGTTCTTAGCCCTGTGTCTCATTCTTGCCTCCTCTTACACTGGATACTCCTCATCAGTAGCCCCTTCCCCACATTATTGCAGGCCAAACCTTTTCTCTGCCCTATCTTGTCAAGTATTACACTTCCATCTGCCTTCTGCCTTCTAACGATTTGCTAAACTTTCTCATCTACTGATTACCACTCTCTTCCCTTCCTCTTCATCTTCTTGTTGTTTGGGATTTTATCTTTCTGTATTCACTATTATTTAATGGGATTGGAAGGTGAGTCTTGGAGAAGAAATAAGTGTGTATGGTCAGTCCACAGTCTTGAGACAAAAATAACGTGACTTCAAAGACATCTTTCTAGTAGTATGAGTTTATGTTAGGAAGCATTTATTGATACCCTATATCCTCTCATTGCTATAAGATCTTCATGGGAAACCTTTAATAACATTTGTGATTAGGGTATTAGGACTGTCACTCAACATATAACATAATTATATTTTAGCAAACAATTCTTAGTATCATTGTTATACATTAGGGACTTAATTTAGCCCACAGTTTGCTCTATAATAAATAAATAATAAGTGAACATTATATATGGGCGATTCTTACACTAAAGCGAGTCAAGATTCTATTTTAAAGCAGCTCATAGACAAATAAAAGGAAAAGGTAATTGACCATGGAAACTGTATTTATGAAAGTTCATAGAATTAGAAAGATGAGGTTTTGTTTTCTAAAAAAAAACACATGTGTGTATGTATATATGTATATATATAGCATACACACACACACACACACACACACACACACACACACATATATGTACCCACATACACACACATATATATGTTTTGTTTTTTGTTTTTTGAGACAGATTCTTGCAATGTTTCCCAGGCTGGACTTCTTGGGCTCAAATGTTCTTCCTGCATCAGCCTGCTAAGTAGCCGACACTACAGTATCCATAGGGGATTGGTTCCAAGACCTCCTGTGCAAGTCCCTGATATAAAATGGCATAGTATTGATGTATAACCCATGCCCATCTTCCTGTGTACAGGCATACCTCATTTTATTGTGCTTCAACAAGGCTATTGTGGGTTTTTTTTTTTTTTTTTTTCCAAATTATTGCAGGTTTGGGGCAATCCAGCGTTGAGCAGGTTTATCAGGGCCGTTTCTCCAAAGCATATGCTCATTTCATGCCTTTGTGTCACATTTTGGTAATTTTTGTAACATTTCAAACTTTTTAATTATTATTTTTTTAAACTTAAAAATTTTTGCTTTTTGAATCATGAAGTGTTTCCACATACTTTTTCATTATTATTCTGTTGTAGTGACCTGTGATTAGTAATCTTGAATGTTACTATTGTCATTGTTTTGAGATGCCATGAACCATACATACCCATCTAAGACAGTGAATTTAATCAATAAATGTGTATGTCTGATTGCCATACTGACCGACCTGTTTCCTTTCTCCCTCTCCTTGGGCCTCCTTATTCCCTGAGATACAGCAGTATTGAAATTAGGCCAGTTAGTAACCCTGCAATGTCCCCTAAGGGTTCAAGTGAAGAGTCTCACACCTCTCACCTTAAATCAAAAGCTAGAAATGATGTTTAGTAAGGAAGGCATGTTGAAAGCTGAGACAGGCTGAAAGTTAGGCCTCTTTGGCCGAACAGTTAACTATGTTGTGAATGCAAAGAAAAATTTCTTGAAGGAAATTAAAAGTACTACTCTAGTAAACACATGAATTGTAAGAAAGTGAAATAATTATTGCTGATATGGAGAAAGCTTTAGTGGTTTGAAGGAAACATCAAACCAGCCACAGCATTTCCTTAAGCCAAAGCCTAATCAAGAACAAGTCCTAACTCTCTTCAATTCTAAGAAGATTGAGAGAGGTGAGGAAGCCACAGAAGAAAATTTGAAGCTAGCAGAGGTTGGCTCATGAGATTTAAGAAAAGAGGCCATTTCCATCACATAGAAGTGCAATGTTAAGCAGCAAGTGCTCAAACAGAAGATGTAGCAGGTAATCCAGATCTGGCTAAGATCATTGATGAAGGTGGCTACACTTACCAACAGATTTTCAGTGTAGATGAAACAGCCTTATGTTGGAAGAAGATGCATCTGGGACTGTCATATTTAGAGAGAAGTCAATGCCTGGCCTCAAAGGACAGGCTGACTCTCTTGTTAGGGACAAAGGCAGCTAATGACTAATTTGAAGCCAAGGTCATTTACCATTCTGAAAATCCTAAGG